AGTGATGCACAAGTCGGTTGTGGTGTGCAGAAACCGACATTCGAAAAGGGCTGTAAAAAGAGGGCAAAAAGTTAATAGTTTAACACTTTAATACACGTCTATATTACGTAATCCATACTTTACATTTTATCAGCCTTTTAAACCATACCTGAAAGAGAAAATAATCTCTTTAAAACCTTAGAACCTTATGGACTAAATGCAGAATTTGATTTACACAATTTTCTCTGATTTTATTCTGTAAAGTTTCATGCACATTTTTCTGGACTGTTTGTTTCCCTGCTTTACTTCATGTACTTTTTGTATCCACTTTTCTTTTATATGTATATATTTATTTTTATTTAACACATTTTTTTTCCATTCTTTATTTTTCAGGAGAAAGAATTGAGACATTCAGATTAAAATATGGTACATAAATTAGTTTACAGAGCTAAGTGCCTTTGGAGATATCTAAAAACAATCTGATGGAGTTAATGCGCATCTGTTTTGTAATTCTGGGAAGGAGACTATAGTATCCCCAATATTTAGCTGATACACCCTCTGGAGCCTAGCTTGTTCTATGCCCTTAAAATCTCCGGCTCTCATGCCTTGGGTAAAAGCTCTATTGTGATATATAGGGGTGAGAGGGGAAGGGGATGAAATCAGTCTATATTGAGCAGACCTATCCCAGATTTGGATTGTCACTGATGGACAGGTTGTGCAAAGAAGTGCCCTATGCTCTCTTGGGGCTCAGATGTAGAATTGCGGGAGATCTGCTCCCATCAGTAGGGATTCTAAATCTACCCATCGTCTACTGTCAGGGGAGGAGCGCCACAGGGATATTTGTGCTAACTGAGGGGCCAAATAATAAAAGTGTAAGTGAGGCAGTCCCAGCCCTCCTCTTGTCTTTTGACGATATAGTATGTTACGAGATACTCTATGACGTTTGCCTTGCCAAATAAATAGCAATTTGGAACATCAACAACCTCCCCAAACATGACTAAAAGCAACCAAGGGGGTATAAAGGTGTGGATGACGTAAAGCATGTAAGTACATTAAACCCTCCAAAACTGTGGAATGTACCAACACTAAAAAAAATACACTTTAAATGAGTTTGCAAACTACAGTAAAAAAAAAAGTTGTATACGTAATAACCTGCAGTTGCAAACTTCAGTATGTGGGAAAACCATACCAAGAATTCCGAAGGAGAGTTTTACGGCATGTGAATTCCATAACAAACAAAAATATCTCAACACCTGTGGCAAACTATGTGAGAAACTTCCACAACACCAATCCTTCGAATCTCTCTTTCCAAATTCTGGAATGAATCCATTTAAACACAAGGAAAGGTAACTTTAACCTTATACTTCTAAAAAAGGAATCCAGATGGATAGACAAATTTAAAACATTGGCACCACACGGTCGGAATGAAGAGTTCAATGTTACTCCCTTTTATTCATAACCAATTATCTTATTTTATGGTGTCTCAACTAATAGTAGTGATCACATTTAAATTTCATAAAATCAATACACATATCCCTAACTATTAATAATCATTATGTTTTGAGTGCCATTGGTAATACAGTGGGTCATACAGGTGATCAAAAATTAACATTTTACAAAAATTACCGTTAATAATCTGCCACACTTTTGACAAGTGGATGTATGATACAGTAGGAATTTTTGGAAATGCAACATGGATATCATGCATTAATTAAAATAATGTTGGCATTATTTCTTATAATAAGATTAAGTCCTATACCTTAGGAACGGATACGTTATCAACTTAAGCAGTATCTATGAAGTATAACCTCCAATGTTGCTACCCAAAAATTGAAAATGAAACATTAAAACTCAATAACTTAAATTTAGATGGATGAGAATAGTGGATAGTTACCACTTTAGAACTCACAGATGTAATATGGCCATAATTTGAACTTAAATTTAGATGGATGAGAATAGTGGATAGTTACCACTTTAGAACTCACAGATGTAATACGGCCATAATTTGAAATCGCATTTTGAAAGGCTGCAGGGCAGCCAATCAACAAGCGTGTGCCCTTGGAAGCCATCACAGCCATGCCTACCAATGGCATGGCTGTGATTGGCCAGTGCAGCATGTGACCCAGGCTCTAAATATAAGCTGGAGTCGCGTAGCGCTGCACGCACATGAGCTCTTTTTAGTGTAGGGAGAGGATGCTGCTGCTGTGAGGGACAGATTAGGAAAGAATTCTGGTGTTGAATCTGCAAACTAAAGCGATTATTCAAATTACAGCGATTATTTTTGTGGGTGCTATAATACTACATTTTTGTACCCTGCCCTGAGCGCAGTGCCACAGAGTGCAGTGCACTTGCAACTGCATGTGTGTCAGGCACATTACTTTAATCCTGTTCTGGTAGCTCAGTGGGCAACATCTAGGCATTTTTAAATACAGCAATTTTTTTGGTGCTAATAGTACATTTGCGTACTGCATTTCTTGCAGTCCAATAAAACCCTTAAATACTACTGTTTCATTGTTGGTTTGAAAAAAAATCTAACTTTTTGGTGCTTAATAGAACATTTGCGGCCTGCGATGCACTTCCTATCTGAGAGTCAAATAGAACCGTCAAATACTGTGCTTACATTGCAGTTTTAAACATTCGAATTCTAGAGGTGCTAAAAAGTCAGTTTGGTGCCTGCAGTTCATATCTGAGAGTCAAAAAGAACCGTCAAATACTGTGTTTACAGCGCATTTTTAAACATTCAAATTCTTTAGGTTCTAAAAAGTCAATTTGGTGCCTGCACTTCATATCTGAGAATCAAATAGAATCGTCAAATACTGTGCTTATATTGCAGTTTATAACATTTGAATTCTTTAGGTGCTAAAAAGTCAATTTGGTGCCTGCAGTTCATATCTGAGAGTCAAAAAGAACCGTCAAATACTGTGCTTACAGCGCATTTTTAAACATTCAAATTCTTTAGGTGCTAAAAAGTCAATTTGGTGCTGCAGTTCATATTTGAGAGTCAAATAGAACCATCAAATACTGCTGTGACATAGCAGTTTTAAATATTCAATTTTTTTTGCTGCTAAATAGTACATTTGCGGCCTGCAGTGCACTTCATATCTGAGAGTCAAATAGAACCGTCAAATACTGTGCTTACAGCGCATTTTTAAACATTCAAATTCTTTAGTGTTCTAAAAAGTCAATTTGGTGCTGCTGCAGTTCATATCTGAGAGAGAATCAAAATAGTCAAATAAAACTGCTGCTTTATAGCTTGCATTTTTAAACATAGTCAAATTCTTTCATATCTGAGAGTCAAAAGAACCGTCAAATACTGTGCTTACAGCGCATTTTTAAACATTCAAATTCTTTAGGTGCTAAAAAGTCAATTTGGTGAATGCACTTCATATCTGAGAGTCAAATAGAATCATCAAATGCTGTGCTTATATTGCAGTTTATAACATTTGAATTCTTTAGGTGCTAAAAAGTCAATTTGGTGCCTGCAGTTCATATCTGAGTGTCAAAAAGAACCGTCAAATACTGTGTTTACGGCGCCTTTTTAAACATTCAAATTCTTTAGGTTCTAAAAAGTCAATTTGGTGCCTGCACTTCATATCTGAGAGTCAGATTAAAATTAAAATTGAACCGTCAAATACTGTGCTTACAGCGCATTTTTAAACATTCAAATTCTTTAGGTGCTAAAAAGTCAATTTGGTGAATGCACTTCATATCTGAGAGTCAAATAGAATCATCAAATGCTGTGCTTATATTGCAGTTTATAACATTTGAATTCTTTAGGTGCTAAAAAGTCAATTTGGTGCCTGCAGTTCATATCTGAGTGTCAAAAAGAACCGTCAAATACTGTGTTTACGGCGCCTTTTTAAACATTCAAATTCTTTAGGTTCTAAAAAGTCAATTTGGTGCCTGCACTTCATATCTGAGAGTCAAAAAGAACCGTCAAATACTGTGTTTACAGCGCATTTTTAAACATTCAAATTCTATAGGTGCTAAAAAGTCAATTATTTTACTGCACTTCATATCTGAGAGTCAAATAGAACCGTAAAATACTGTGCTTATATTGCAGTTTTAAACATTTGAATTCTTTAGGTGCTAAAAAGTCAATTTGGTGCCTGCACTTCATATCTGAGAGTCAAATAGAACCGTCAAATACTGCTGTGACATAGCAGTTTTAAACATTCAAATTTTTTTGCTGCTTAATAGTACATTTGCGGCCTGCGGTGCACTTCATATCTGAGAGTCAAATAGAACCGTCAAATACTGCTGTGATATAGCAGTTTTAAAAATTCTAATTCTTTAGGTGCTAAAAAGTCAATTTGGTGCCTGCACTTCATATCTGGTGTATGTGTGCAACACTGGCTAGTTACTGCTTCTCAAGAAAGTCTAAAGACTTTTTAAAAAAGTGAAAAATAAGTGTTATTGTGATCACTTCATATACAGAAGCATTAATATACATTTCTATATTGTGTAAAGACACAACTACAAAGTTAAAAACCAAACACCAAAACAACGTGGAATGAAGGTCATGCGAGTCACACGTGCAGTTTGGTGGAAGAGGTGCTGGTCACACAGAGGCACCAGCACAGCATAAGAGGGAGCAGGGTGCAAAAGCGGAGTGGCCGTCCCATAGCGCTCACCGGCATGTATTATCTTTAGAATTCCCATAGTTATTCAAGTAACAGATGGAGCGATAAAATGAACCATAACAGATTTAACGAGCCAGTCGCAGTTTCGCAGTCCGGTGACCGGGACCAGACACTGTCTGGGCGGCGGTCGGACGACCGGGACCCAGTATGCCTGATGTTGAAGTTAGGAGTCTCAGTGTGGAATGGATTAGCAGGGTCTGGTGCAGGGTAACCGCACGCCCCCTGGTGTTGACCACCAGCATTTGTGCGACCACATGCTAGGACACTTATTCAGCTTCAGCGAGCAGGAGCAGGCAATAGTGAAGTTTCAGCTGCAACATGCACGGTTCAGTCGCTCTGCACCAGACTTGCCCTTCAATTGATCCAAGTTAAAGGATTTGCATGTGGCAGCCATTTCTCAAGCTCCCTCTCTGGAATCAAACCCTTATTCCCCGTTACCCGTGGTCACCATGGTAGGCGTGGAAAATTGCATTGAAAGTTGATAGGCAGACATCCGAATGCGTTGTCGTCGTCACGGGGACATGCAATCAGCACGAGGTTATCACTAGTAAAATGTGGATTTCAAGCCATCCAATCACAGTGCTCTGTGTCATTTTACACAGCGTGGGAAAGTTTCAGCTGACAGAGCACTGTGATTTGCACGTGTTACACGTGGGAAAACTGAACTTTCATTTTTTTTTTAGGGTGAGGGGGATAGGTAGGGAGATAATTTTTTTTTGGGGGGAGGGGTGACTAGGGTCCCCCCCTTTGTATTTAGGGCCCCCACCCACCGCTCAGGGGTGGGGGCTGGGGGGGGACAATAGGTCCCCCCCTTATTGTTAATTTTAGGGCCCCCACCCACCTCTGGTGGGGGCCAGGGGGGACAATAGGTCCCTCCCTTATTGTTATTAGGGCCCCCACTCACCGCTCAGGGGTGGGGGACAGTAGGTCCCCCCTTATTGTTAATTTTAGGGCCCCCACTCAGGGGTGGGGGCCGGGGGGGACAGTAGGTCCCCCCCTTATTGTTAATTTTAGGGCCCCCATCCACCGCTCAGGGGTGGGGGCCGGGGGGGACAGTAGGTCCCCCCTTATTGTTATTTTTAGGGCCCCCACCCATCACTCAGGGGTGGGGCCGGGGGAGGACAATAGGTCCCCCCTATTAATATTTAAGGCCCCCACCGGGGGGGGCCCTTTTTTTTTTAACAGTGAGCAGCCACAGGCTGCTCACTGTTTAATAGACATGCCCCTACTCGCGGTATTGCGAGTAGGGACACAATTTACTAATACTAAGTAATTTTTACTTAGTATTAGTAAATTAATAGGGGCGGACCGAACATCGCATATGTTCGCCATCCGTGGCGAACGCGAACATGCGATGTTCGCCAGGAACTATTCGCCAGCGAACCGTTCGGGACATCACTAGCTATCACAGATAAGCGCAGCCGCCTGTCCACAAATAGTCACCCAAAATGAAGGTCTATGATACAATGGTATATATATAGAACAAAAACAATCACTCTTGCACATAAAACAAGGAGGTGAGAAACACTTATCTTATTAGACAGTGGTTACAGCTTCCTCCAGGGATATCCCAGCAATAATCCCTCCAATATAGATTAGGTATACACAAAAATGAGGATGCAGCTGTGGATCTACAAAAGAATATGGAACAAATAATAGTGTAAAACTGTATAACAGGGTACAAATGCGCTGTATAAGATATAACTCACAGGATGGATGAATTAATGACGCCCAAGGGTGCCTCTCCTGATGTAGGTGGGGGGCAAAATCACTGCTTATGCTCCCAGGAAGACTGAGTTGGACTCAGCATATGGAGTAAACAAATTCCTTCTTTATTTAAAAATATAAAAGATAAATATATGTACAAGCTGTTATGTAACAGCAGTTACAAATACAGATATACAATAAAAAGTGAGCAGTAAAATCCATCCCCCCTGAGTCCTTTCTTTTATACTGATGCTGGATTCTTCTCATTGGTGCTTCCCAGGGCGTCAATTTCTTGATGCAGCTGTGGGTTATTAAATTTCCCGGGTTGTTTTGCTTTCGCGATGTCACTTCTGGTTTTCGACAGTTGCCGTGATGTCACTTCCGGTTCGGCGATTCACTCCAATTGTATCCATGGGCGTTTGCGTTTCACTGTAAGGAAGTATGCGTTCCACCTGTGGCTCAATGTAATAGATAGGTTATTGATGGTAGCCGTTAGGGCTCAAAATAGGAAAAAAGGCACAAATATAAATCAATGCAAAATCGGGGCAATGATTTCTTGAGCAAAGAAGTTTGTAAGGGACAAACAAAGAGATCCACTTTCCTTAAATTTGTATACATAAATATGGAAGGGTTCAGCTGTCCATCTCCCAAACACTTGAGCGAAAGAGGAAGTACCCCCCTACACACCCGCAATCCCTGGCCCTGAATGCTAGCATTTCAAAAGTCCTGGTTTTTGAAATGCTGTCATTTCGTCTGGTGGAGACGGACAGTTTTAAAAACCTGATGGCGTTATTGGACTGCAAGAAATGCACCGCAGGCCGCAAATGTTTCTTTTTTTTTATATGTCCCAATATTTTGGGGGCTACCCCAATTAAAAAACAAAAAAAACAAAAACAAATAGAAAACAGTGTTGGCTACCTCCTCCTCCTCCACCGCCGCTTCCACCTACACCGCCACGGTCACCGCCTCCTCAACCTATGGGTCACTTAGTATAAACTATGTACACAATAGCAGAGGCTTGTGAAGGCCTTTTTTCCATGCATCAGGAGTTGAGATCAGTTTGAACAATGAAAGAGAATACCCTGCACTCCAACCCTCTCTCAAATGGATAATTCTGGTGATCCTCCTGACAGCTTTAGATTTTGATTTATGTTCTTCCAAAGCTAAAATCAAAGATGCCATCTAGTGCTATTTTATGGCTCAGCTGTATTTTAATTTTTAATGTATCTTATGTTATTTTAAGTGATTTCCCTATCCACATTTGTTTGCAGGGCACTTGTCCTACTCTTACCTCCATTTTACTTCCATTTGCAGCCCTCTAGCTCTTTTCAGGACATTTTTAGAGCCATTTTTGTGCCCAAAAGTTCGGGTCCCCATTGACTTCAATGGGGTTCGGGGTCAAGTTCGGGGTCAAGTTCAAGCACGAACCTGGACTTTTTTCCGAATCAGCCGAACCCACCGAACCCAAACATCCAGGTGTCCGCTCAACTCTAACTACCACCAGTGTGTTTCTTCATTACCCTCTACTTTCTCTAATCAACCAATCTAGTTTATGTGTTTTGTGTTTTGCTCCTTTTTAGTAATGTATTGGGGGTATTCCTTACTTTCTGTGTTTGCAGCTTAATTTACTTTTTATAATAATTGATCCCTTAGAGCTTATCCTACCTTTTGTACTTGCTGAATCTTTTGATTTAAAATTAAATGTGTGGAATTAGATAAGGTAATGTAACATGCTGCATGTTACAGTGCCAACTGATATTTTTTTTCTATTTGCCTCATGCATTTTTTTTTACTTTTTGGATAATAACTATTTTTTTATTTTAGAGCATGCTTTTCACCTTAAAAGGACGCTGTAGGAACTATAACCACTTCACCTCATTGAAGTGGTTATAGTGGCGGGAGTCCCCTGTTCTTCCATCCAGCATTAAACTGTTTTCCATGTATTAATGCTAAATGAGAGTCACCAGCAGCCCATCCACTCAGTGCTGCTTTGTCTAATAAGGAAATATAAGCCTGAGCAAAAATGAGCAAAAAATGCTTATAGCTTCACACCCATTACTGGTATGGTTTAGTATGGCTAGAAGAAAGTTTATAATCTCTGCCTTAGCCATACTTAAAATAGTGCATGTTGAGGAGGGGCTTGCAGCGGAGCAGAGCTGTCGCACTCACTGTGAGCTCCCCGACACAAACCGCAAACAAAACGCTAAACCAGGCGATTTCTGACGTCCACCCGGGCTCAACTGCTTGTACCCGACCCGGGATTAGCCATGGGACGCAAACATAAGAAAACCCGAGCGGATAAAGACCCAACCACCCACGATGTTGGGGAACTTCTCCAACACTCGCAAAAGTCCGCATGGGACAAGATGGCGGCGGGAGACGACGGATGCTCATTTTCATCTGATGATTTCTCCATAGACCCCAGAGAAGGTATGGCACAAGCCCCTCCACCCGACCCTAGACCCTCACACACCCCTGCAGAAGACCCTGTCACAGCCACAATACTTAAGAGCATGCTGGCAGAGCTCAGAACCAACATAGCAGCAGACATGGCTGGTATAAAAGAGGCAGTGGAGGGGGTCACTACCAGGGTCCTGAGGCTGGAGGCCTCAACCACCTCCCAAGAAGCAAGGATAGCATCCATTGAACAAGCACTAACTGAGGTGCAATCTCAACAAAGCATATCAAACAACCGGATAAACACCCTTGAGGACCAACGAAGGCGCTATAATATCAAGATCCGAGGCATCCCGGATTCAATAGGCCAGACAGACCTACCGCACTTCATCAGGTGCCAGCTGGCTGATCTATTGCCACCCAAACAGGCAAAAGCAGTGCAACTAGATGGTATATTCAGACTGCCAAAGCCGGCAGCGGCAGCGGCACCAGCCACGGCACACACAGACCTGATCCTCCGTTTTCAAAACCTGCAAGACAGAGCCCAGCTGTTGGCGGCCGCACGGGGGAAAACCCCTCTGACATTTGAGGGAGCCACTCTGTCCCTCTTTCAGGACCTAACTAAAAGCACCATGGGATGGCGCAAGGCCATGCAGCTACTCTTACAACACCTCAGGAACAAGAGCATCCAGTATAAATGGGGGACACCGAACATGATCACCTTCACATATCAGGATATCACATACCGAGCTCGGAGCTACCCTGAACTGGACTCGCAACTGCACACAGCAGGACTAATATCACCCCCACAAAGGGAAAGCTCAGACCTCTCCCGACTGGACCCGGCCGCGGTCACTGACTTCATCCCAGGGGCACCCACCCGACCGCCGCACCATCGAAAGATACCATGAGGGACGCTGCAATAGGGGGTTCTCCACAGAACCCCAGAGACTGCTGTAAACACACTCTCCATGATATGGCCTCCTGCCCAAGATGTACCCGCTCTGCACTCTTGAGAATTTACACATGGTCAACACCCAAGTTCCTCCTTCCCATAGAGTTTTTATGTTGATCAAAGTTGACTTTTTTCTAGTACACAAAAGTCCGTATAGGTCTCCCCGAAGTAGATTTTACGCACCCGAGACACATCGATAGCGACACTCGCACCCTAAACCGGGGACGCAAATACTCACAACCGACCGCATCTGCATTTGACCTATCTCCCCACACGAACATGGCAGACACAGTTAAAAACATATCCATTATGACAGGAGGACATCCCTGGGGAGGGACACATGCCATCCTAGGGCACCCCATTCACGACAAGGCTCACCCTCACACACCGGAGACTAGACGGACAGTCACGTTGGGGAGAACCCACGGACCTCACACCACACACAAAATATGCCTCCATAGCTGGTTTTCAAACAGACCGATAAGACAACACATGTCCAAAGACAAACCCTAAGAATGTACACTCACAGAATCC